TTTTTTTTTAATTACAAAGATTCCATCGTGATTAAAAACAAACAAACAAAAAAAAGGTATAACAACTTGCTTTGCTTTCTTTTCTTTTTCCCTTTCTTACATCATCTCTTCATGACCACGCGTTGATAACTTGAAGAGGGAACGTGTCCTTTCTTTGGCAAATGCGTTTCCCAAACCCGGAGATCATCACGAAGAGTTAAGGCGTACCGTCCGATCATGTGGATCTTCCAGGTTCTCTTGAAAGGGGTTTATCCACACAGATGACAAGACTTCGCTCGCCATAACAACTGTCCGTTGGCCTCCAAAGCGTTGACATAGGGCCGCGGTCCACTACTCTCCAGTCTCGACATGCACAAAAGACAAAAATCATGGCGGCGTATCTTTCCATGTTCTAGGGGAAGATTCACTCTGGTTTTGCACATGGCGAGAGGAGGGGAGCGAGGCGCACGCATAGACATAGTGGTCACTGGTCAGTCAACTCTGACCTGCGACTTCGCTGCGACATTGAATGAACCGACCGGAGGTCTTTTTTGACGGCATGCACAGTGCGGACATTGGCACTCCTGGATGAATAGAACTCCGATTACGGCTAGATTCGATCAGGGTGAGCTCTCCCTGACGAGGCTGACGTTAAGGAACGTAATGCAATCGGGTCAGACTTCGACGTAGGGATTTTCTGCGTTTCTTCGACAACTTCCGCCAAGTGCCACGGAGCCGATATCCCACTAGGATCTGGATTCAGCCATATTATCACCCAATGGATTGCCAACCGTGCAGATCGGCCGTCTTGACGGTTGTAAATCAATCGGCTGTCGACCCGGGAGTCACTGCCGGCCATACAGAACGAGTGTTTTGGTTACAGCAATCGCGGAGGGTCAATGATTGAGGATGAGGAATCGAGGATTGATGGACATACTTGGTCACGTCAGCTTTCTATTCTTTTTCATTGAAGGTCAGTGATTGGCACGTAGTCTTGGGATCGCAAGAAATCCGTGTTCGACAAGACTCGTCACTATTCCCGGAGCGGGTATTATGATCAATCACCGTCGATTCACCGAGCATTGCGAGCAATCAATACTCTGTCTCACTCTCTCTCTCACCCCCGCGCGCGCGCGCGAGTGCGCGAATGATAGACAGCACCCTCGTCAATCATGAGGGCCTGATGAGGCTACCTCGTTGTCTAGTAGCTGACAGTGGCCGAGTTGAGACTGAGCATTAAGCGTGTATAAGCTGAGCAGGTTTGCCGTAATGGCGAAGGCCAATATAGCTGCTCGTGACTTGCGCTTCTGGCCCACCTTCTATTCGGTTCGTGCCCCCGTCGGTTGACTTCGGAATCTATTGCAGCAACTTTAGCTCGATGACCGATCTCATCCGGGTGACACCAACTTAAGCGTTGCAAGTGTGAAGCGTAGTGATCATGCAATTTCACTAGGCAAGCAAACGAGCGAGTTGTATTGAGCCGAATGCTTACGTGCTATAGCCTTGTACGTTGCCGCTTGGTGATTGCAGCGTTTGGTTGGGGAGTCGGGTATTTGCGGGTCTGTGTCGAGTACGACGTACACGAAGAGGGGCGTCTCGGTCGTCTTCTATGGATGGACCGCTCTCAGTGAGAGTCCACAAGCTGCATCCGCTCCGTACCTTCTTCCGTCGAAAATGACACGCACAGATGCACCGCATCATGATGATCCTGCTGAAGACTGGAGCGCATCACAATTATTTGGCGATCGAGAGCGTGACGACGATAATCTCCGAGAGAAAAGCTTCGGTCATGGCCATCGAAATCGCGAGACCAACATGCAAAATTCTGAGTCCGATGCAGCGATGGGGAGCAGACATGGCACGGCTGCGGCGACAGCGTCGGCGTCCACAACCGCTCAAGAAGAGGAGCACGACGCTGTTGGTGGGGACGTCAACCGCCGCTCCGACCTGATCCGGATCCTTCACTTACAAGCACCCGCACATGATTGCGCCAAGAGCGGAGATTCTGGCAAACTGCTCGCAGAGGGGGTGGCTTCGTGGGTCCTTCCGTCCTCGCCGGCTGATTGGAAAGAAGACTGGGTTCCTGAGACGTCCGTTCGTGATCCCCTCCATAATTTGGACATGCCTGCCTGCTTCTTGCCCGCTGAGTCGCAGGCGCCTCTATCTCAGAGACAGAGCGTGACTTTACATTCACCGAGTGGCAACCCGCGTGGACCTCAGCCGCCTCTAAGCTCACAGTCGACGCTGTTGACGTCAACGCCGACGTTGTCCTGGGACTGCGCGCGGGCCGTGTCTTCATCTTTCCGATTGTCGTCGCCAGAATCATCGTCTTCCTTCCCTTCGAAGCGGTCCTCTTCTTCGACAATGTCACCATTGTCATGTTCTTCGCCGCGGACCTCGGCGACGGTGTACGACCGGCTGGGGTCGTCGTCCTCGCTGGCGGCTGCAGGCAGTCATCGTTGCGGCGGCGTCGCTGCCATCACCATAGACGCTGTTGGGGGGGAGGCGGCACCATCGGGCTCGCCATCGAATATCAAGTCGGCGCCGCCGGTTCTCCCATCGTTGGGCATTTGGGAAAGGACTGTCGCTATGGGTTCTGATCGTATGCAAGGCAGCGGAGAGCAAGGAAACCATGGGGCGGATAAACGGTCATTGCCGTCTTCGCCACCCGTGACTCAGAAGGTGGAGTCCGACGTGTACGGGTCGTCATCGCGCCCATTCTATGACTACGACGAGAGAGATGTACAACCGTGGGAGCTGGACTGGACTTTCCCGTCTGCCGAGCCTACGGCCAGGAACCCGCTGACGTCCCCTCCTCCCTGGCCTGAAGCTAGCACGGCGGATAGGTTTCCCTCTGATGCGGCAGATAGGGGGATGTCCTCGTTTCCACTCGATATGAGATGCTATCACAATTGCTGGGCAAGATCAGACTCTCGGCCGAACTGGAAACTGGCAGATGGACAGTTGGAGGGAGGAGGGTACACTGGGCACAGAGTGAGCGATGAACTACACGTCTCGAGAGCCATAGCCGACGACGAGGTTCATCCGGGTGCTGAGCTCGCAGCAGGAGTTGGCGCAGAGGCGGCAACAGAAGTAAGAAAAACAGCGAAACGATCGGAAGTTGAACAGCAGCTAGCGACAGGAAACGCAATGGCAGAGGGTGAAGAAGGGACTCGAACTCGACCGGCAGCAGGAGCAGAGCTGCGAGCCGAGGCGGGGATCGAGACAACAATGGCAACAACAATGCAGTCAGGATCAGCATCGGAGCCGGGACGTGGACCAGCAAGGGCAAGGCGAGGAGAGATGGTGAGAGGACCATTGACTGGAGCGTCGGGAAGCCGATTGACCGGAGGGGTGCTCTTTCGTAGTTCGGAGTCGACATCGAAAGAGGTACAGGGAAGATTAGACTGGCAAAGGCGACAGTGGTCGGACATCGAGAGTGATGCTGGCCAGGTGGACAATCCTGGCCAGGGCGGTGGCCACGCTGCTGCTGATTATGATGAGGAGCAAGATGGGCATAGCGCAAGGAACGACGACTGCGAAGGGGAAGGGAGGAGGATGGCAGCGGCCGCCGCATGCTATCTGATTTCCCTCGCAGGGGTGGACGATCACGAGCGTGAGGAGAACTTCAACCCGAGTCAGGGTGCACGTTTCGAGGAGAGCGTGGAAGGCAACGCGAACGGAAACAATGGTCGGACGGACGATGACGAAACACACGGGAATTTCTGCTTCGGAGAGCGCACCGGCCTTCCGCAGGATAATCGCGTATGTGTGGACCCATCCATTGCCGAAACGACCGACAACCTCCTCTTGAGCTATACACGGTGTCTGTTTAAGACTGGCCAGAGAATGCGCCTCAACGGGGCATCCACCGGCGCTACTCCTCCCTATGTCCCGCGCTCGATGACAGAGTCCATACAGTTGTCCGACGGAGATCGTGGTCAAGGTCATCATCAACCGTCGACAGCGGACGTCCAGTCGAGCATGGGCAACTGGGGTTGCGTCCGAGCTGATGTGCCTCTTGACAGCGAGCTAGAGCTGTCTGGCGGCGACAATGAATCTTTGCTGTTCTCTCTCGCTGGAGCAGATAGGCACAGGCTTTTGGTCGGCATGCCATCATCATCATCATCATCATCATCATCATCGTCATCGTCATCCTGTCAATCTATGCCTTGGATTGAGTTGACCGCGACGATGACTCCCCACCGTAACGACAACGGGCTTCTGCCCGAGCATGATGGTGAGCGATCGGGTGATCAGGACTCGACGTACTGTTGGTCGTCGCAAGCTTGTCGAAGTGCCCTGTCGACGGGGAACAATGGGTATGCAGACTGGGAAAGAAGCGGTGGGCGCAATCATTTCTTCAATCTGACGTATGAAGAGAGAACGTCAGCCGCCTGCCGAAGTACCAATGATAGCCACCACCTCTACACGGGCGATACGACGAGCCAGGTCCATCCAGCAGCGGAGGCGCAGGGGCAGCGGGGGCAGCTGCAGGACGAGGCAAACTCAAGGGATCGCTCGACCGTCAATATCTTCAATCCGGCCTCTCCCGAACCGACGGGCATCCTCGAAAAGGCATGGAGAGGATCCAACTCCCCTTTCCTCCATCCTCAGCAGAGAATAGCCTCCACTAGTTCACAGGGAGCACCACCACCTGGGGATCGTCATGCATGGGCACCGAGTGTATTGCAGTCCAGGGTCGAACTCAACATCCCTGATCAGCTGGTCGGCGTGGACTGCCATTATCCGCGAGCCCAATCCGAGCTTCTCAACTGTTTGGCTGATCCGCATGATCGCTCCTTTCAGCATGGGGAGGACTTGAGCACTAGCTCTCCGACCCATTTTTCAGCAGAGGAATACGGATACGGGTACGAATACGCTCACCACCACGCTCACGACTGTGAAGATTACGCGCACGCTCATCGACAGAGTTTCCGCTCGAGCGTCCATCCCCCATCCGGGGTCGGAAAGGGGTTTGACATGACAGAGGACAGGTCCACCAGTGGATGGAGGAGCTGGTTTGCGACGAGCGGGTCAGATGTCCTAGAGAGGAAACAGATTGGGGAGGACGGGGTTCTCCTACAGGAGCCCTGGCTGCATCCGACCATGGAGTCAGCTGCACCTGGGCCCAGTGCTCTCTGGGGAGGAGTTCACAGCTTCGACGAAGCGGCACGTCGCTCGTCTCCGCCATCGAGCGCTTTGGTAATGAATGGTGAGCGAGAAGTACCAAAGCCCCTTCATACACGCCGGATGACCAGTTCTGCGACGGGGATACTAGGGTTTCCGACCTCGTCGGCAACCAGAGGGCGATGCTCACCAGGACCTGAGGGAAACTCAGCCCATTGGCAGCCCATCGTAACGGCATGGGAGGTCGGCTTACGACCGGCCGTGCCTGCAGCTGCGACAGGCGGTACTTCAGCGGCGCTTCTCCCGAGTTGCACGACCCCGACTTTGCCTTCCGCTATTCCAGTCCACGTTCCACGCGGTGGTGTTTCCTTCGAAGGAGCGGGAAGTTTCGCTTGCGGAGCGTCAAACAGCCAGCCGTTCGCAGGTGCTCCCATGCGAAACAGTCAGTTGCCATTGCCGTTCCTTTCGCGATGTGGAGTGACACCCGATGAGCCTTCTTCCAGTAGCCGACAGCCGAACAGATGGCAGTCATGTCCGTTGCGGCCACCTCCGGCGAAAACACCCGCTGTTTTGCAGTTCGCAGTGCAGCGTCCATCTTCGCCTGGCGCGCTGTTGCCGCCACCATCGTCGTCGCAAGGTACCACGGGTGACAAAGTATCCGGCTGCCGGTCTCAGACATCGCAGCTGCGCGGGGGAGGGAGAGGAGCAGCTGAGGTAGCGAAGGGGGGAGGAGCACTGCTGGCGACTAGGTCGATGACGAGGCCGCCAGGCGGGGGTGTTGACGATGAACGTCATGATGAGATGGGTTCGGCATTGACAGACAGGGAGACGACCTCCACAGCAGCAAAAGGCCCCGCCGGTCGACGATACCGCCGGGAGCGCTTGGCTCGTCGAGGGTCTAGCTGCGGCTCGTCCAAGCTGACCACGGCACTGAGCACCATAGCTGCCAGCGCGATCGCTGTGAGTATGCTCCCGAAGAGCATCTCCGTCATCGCGCCTCCGGCCTCTCTCCGCCAACGCGCGAAGCCGGGTGGTCGATTGACGTTGTCTCTTGTTGATCAAGGTCCGCTCACGCTTGCTCCGGACAGCTCGGCCAAACGAGACGGCACCCTCACTCTGCAAACCACGCTGACAAACAAAGGCAGTGATGGCGACGGCCCTCGCAAACTTCAGCTATCGTGTGATACGGCAGCAACTGTGGACATTCAAAAAGCTCACGGACAGCACCTGCAGTCTGCAATAGGCCGGTTGACCGCCAGAGAGCGGAAGAGCACAAGAGTGGGCGAGCATGCTAGTGACTCTCAAAACCTTGATTCATCAGGGACTGACAGCTTGGACGCTCAGTCTGACGATTCCTGTCCGAAGCGGGATGAGGCCTGGAAATGTGAGGGGACTGCAGGTCGTTCTGCCGCCGGTGATGACGAAGAGGTCGATCTCGAGGAAAGTGGTAGCGGCCGTCCATGTGGCGCCGAACGGCCGGCTCTACGCCATCCATCGCGGAGTTCGACAAGCTCCGGGGATGTGCAGGAAGAATCGAGCCCCGACGTTGGCAAGCGGTGTGGAGGTCTCGGACCCGACGCCTGTCCCGCAGGCAGTACGAGCGATGCTCAGCCTTATGAGATGGTACGAAGTGACTTCCACCTCTTGATGTTTCAGACTTGTTCAGTCCATGCGTACGCAAGGGTCGTCCAAACGTCTAACTGTCCTCCGTCATGGTAATGAGTCCGGGGATTCCGCGACAGCTGAATGGCAGGAATGCACTGGAATGGAGTGAACTGTTCAAGATGATGGTTTTTTTTTTTTTTTTTTTTTTTTTTTTTTGTTTAAACCTATATTATTCTCTCAATTTCACCTCACACTACCTACCTACCACTACTCCTAATTGTAGGCATACGGGGAACCCCGTAGCAGCGAGAGAACATGCGGGGGCTGCTCCCGACCTGCAGGTGCGCGATACCGGCTAGGGGACAGCCGTTAGCATCAGGGACCATGTCAGCAGGACCAATCCCTGTGCCTCCCCTCAGGTGGTGGTCCCCTCCCCTACGAACATCAGCAGACTGCTCAATGCCGATGCCGATCCGGGGATCCAGCGGTCTATCTCTAGACTGGCGGGCGCCAAGCATGCCCAGGAAGGTACCTGAGGCCAATGGGGATTGAACCCACGACCTGACACTTGCGAGCTTTACCAACGAGCTTTACCAACTGTCAACTGAGTTAGGCCGCTGGATAGAAAGATGATGTTTTGCCTTTGTTTCAAATCGATCTAAAGCTACCGGACAGAATAGTATACGTCTCTCTTAATGATGCTATTTAACATAGCTATCGTCAATGCTAGGACGAATGCAAGATGACGTCTCCGAACCCTCCGTGCGAAAGACGCTAGCAATGAGTTCCAAAGATTTAAACGAACGTCGATCGGACATGCAGCGACCGCGGCCGCGTCCAGCGAGCGATTGGCTGATCATTGATAAAGTATCCGTGCTATAATCACGCCGAAAACTCGGAACAGCGGTGTTCGACCGGCGTTTTGGTTCCATTCCTCTCTCTCTTGTTTTGCACTTTGCGTGATGAAAGACCAGCTGGACGCGTAAAGAACAAAAGGTTCCCTTTTCACCGACATCGGCGACATGTCTAGGCCACGGAAAGATATGCAGAAATCTTTTCTCCCGATGCAGGGTGACCGAAGTTCGTTTTTCTGCATTATGAAAAAAAAGAAACGTGACTTTTTTTTTTGACTTTCGGGGAGGGTGAGAGGAAGCTGTGTGTGAAAAAAAAAAAAAAAACTTGTGTGTGCAGGGAGGGTAACAAGGGTCCCAGGGCTGGCTGTGCTACAGTGCCTGATCCTTGCACCGCAAACCTGTGTAACCCTCTGAAAAAAACAGAAACCATGAATTCTTACTCTATCCCTTTCATAGACAATTGCCGAAATACCCCTGAATTAGTGCCCGGAAACTGGAGTGTTCCGTCAGAAACCCCTAAAACACGGGTATAGCGAAGTGCCCCTAAATTCTGCACATGCTCTGTCCCGGCCATGGGCAACTTTGCCACGTCTTGGACTGTAAGGGCCCGCCGCACTTCTCTTGCCATCTGCCCCTCTGCCAGACAGGCATCTTCTCGGCGTGCCCCGCACCACATCTCTCTCTCTCTCTCTCTCTCTCTCTCACACACACACACACACACACACACACACACACACAGTGGGAGAGACTGTCATCTCTGTTTTGTCCCAGTACAGAGCGCTCCAGCTCAGGGGATGGAATCACTGACCCTCGAACCGCTACAGGGTCAAACAGAAATCATGCACGGCAACCGTACGGGCATTTCCAGAAGGTGCCACCAACGGTTCAAGCCGGAAGTACTGCGGCATGCGGAGAACTTGCACAGGCCACGGTGGGGGCATATGCAAAAGATGCCAGGTCCAAAGTTTCAATCTGCACCGAAACAACGGCGGACGCGGCTGTAAAGGCAAACAGAACACTCACCCGCGCGGCGGTAAAGGCAAAAAAACAAGCGCCAGCAAAGAAATCAGGCGCCGGCTTCAAAACGGCAATTTCGGTCGAAAAGCATCCGTTGATTTTTTTTTATTTATTTATTTTTTTCCCTTCCTTTCCCACGGCCAACCCCGCCTTCTTTGCCGGCGCGTGTTTTTGCCTTTGCCGCCGCGCGGGCGCGTGCTCTGTTTGCCTTTACCGCCGCGCGTGCGCGTGTTCTGCTTGCCTATCGAAAATCGCATTTTCGACAGTGGTATATGCTTCTAGAATGAATGCACGTGTTCCTGCTGTAGCTCTTTTTTTTTTTTTTTTTTTTTTTTTTTTTAGCGAACATGTAGCATGACAAGAATGGACTTCCGGACCTTCTGAATCATGAAAGCTTTCGAGATCGGCACCGTCGATCCTGCTCTATGCTACAGTTTGTGTGATACATAGAACGTGGGAAACTAGCTATGATTTCTGATCATGCCATGATTTCTGAGCATGCCCCCTTGGCAAAACCGGGGAAATGAGTACTTCACGCACACGAACAAATTGCCGACCCTCCCTGGGGCGTGGAATTGTGTTCGTCTTTTCTTGCGTTTCTACAGGGTCCGGGAAGTCCAGGGGGTCGAAGGAGGTAGCCAACGGTTAATTTTCAACGTTTTGGTTTGCACCTTTGTATTCATAATGATGCGCTGTCTGTCCGTCGTGCGTGCATTGTGTCTGCCACATACGAGCTTGTAGGATTCGAAGTCGCAGGCGACAGGAACGAATGAAGACGGCCAAGACGTATCTGCCTTGAAGGGGGAATGGTCTTCATGTTGCGAGGCCTCGGCGCAGCGGAATCGGCTGGACGTTGTGGAGACGGCAGGTGCGCCGTTGCCACAGGTCGTAGCCTCCGCTCAGGTCACTGGACTGCTGTCGGTTGATGACTATGTGCGAACGTCAGCATCTATGAACGAGTTGGATCAGGAGAGCTTAGCGACGACTCCAACGAAACTGGAAGCGGAAATGGGCATCACGATGACGGAGTGTCAACAGCATGAGCAGGGCACGCGTCAACGGAGGAGCCGCAGCTCCAGTGCTCTGAGCAGCGAAGTGTCACATTTCAATAACGGCAGGGTTGACGCACCTGCAGATAATGCAGAAGGACTGAACACCCTCGAGGGCTCAACAGCAGGACGTCAACGCCGTGGCGAAGGGGGCAGGGGAGCTCGAGGCGGTCGCGGAAAGGCTGCAGGGTCAACAGGAGGAAATGGATGCCCGCCGGCTGCAACAGCTATCATCAGTACCGAGTCTGGAGAGGTGGGTGAATGTGCCGTTTTCACACAAGGAACATATAAGACGGAAATCTGCAACAAGTGGGAGAAGCTGGGTGTTTGCCCTTACGGAAAGCGGTGCCAGTTTGCTCACGGTGTGAACGAGCTCCGGCCGGTGCTGAGGCATCCGCGGTACAAGACAGAGGTCTGTCGCATGATTGCCGCTGGGCAGTCATGCCCGTACGGCCATAGATGCCACTTCAGCCACACGATCACTTGATCGCGGGTCGGCAAGCCCTTAGTACCATCATCAGCACCGGAGTGCCCAGAGACGATGAAGTGATGTTTAGGCGGACTGGAGAAGGAGAGGCAGGAAGGCCATGAGGAAGAAGGCTATATATATGTAGCACACCTCGAGAATTCTCCCAGCACGGTACATCAGCAAACAAGGAACCTCATGGGACGCGAGTAGTCTGATAGCGTCGGTTGGTAGGACTATCAGCTCGGCGGGGGTTGTAGGGTGAGGGTTACTCGAGTGCTTGATGCCATTGGATTAGGTGGCGGGCAATAAGCAGCCGCAGAACGGGACCCCACAGGATTGCGGAAGCATACAGGGACTCGAGCAAGAGGAGGGACGGGCCGGGCCAAAGGGAGGGAAAGAAAAAGGGAAATTATCTACCGCTGCTTGCTGGCGAGCTTCGCGATACAGAAGATGAATGCAGCCAGCAGGGCAGCGAAGGGAGCAGCCTTGCGTCTTGAAACCTGCAGAGAGGAACACTGCACTGCATTTTCAGATCCCCAGGGCGGTGCTAGGCTTAATTAAGGTAGTAATAAAGGGCTTCAGAAATGCAGTAATATCTGTACAGTCGGAACAGTGTTTGTTTTTGATGTATAGGGTAGTTATCCCCTGCTAACTTCCCATCCTAGAATCTGGTGGGTTAAGCAGCCTTACGCCTTGAAACCTGAAGAGAGGAACAGTGCACTGCATTTTCAGATCCCCAGGGCGGTGCTAGGCTTCATTAAGGTAGTAATAAAGGGCTTCAGAAATGCAGTAATATCTGTACAGTCCGAAACTATTACAGTGTGTTTGTTTTTGAGGGATAGGGCAGTTCTCCCCTGCTAACTTCCCATGCTAGAATCTGGTGTGTTTAAGTATTTGGGCATGATCAGAAATTGTTTGGTACCAGTGTTTGGTCTCCTGCTCTTGCCGGCGAGGTCAGATGTAGGGACTCTAATAGTATATAACACCTCCCAACTGCTGCTGGTCTCCTTCCCAAGCAGAAGGCCCGCTCAATCCCGCCCCCCCCCCGCCCCCCTGCTCTTCTGTTTACTTAAGCAAGCAACGCTTTGTTTTGTTGATACTTTTCCATGGTTGGCGGTAATAAGCAACCGGACAGCAGCCCCCCAGAATAGAGAGGGAGGTGTGTGGTTATATGTGCAAAGGAAAAAAGGAAAAAGACCGACAGGTATTCGGAAGCAGCAGCTGAGAGAAGGCCCCGGATCCTCTTGTTCTTTTATCCTGAGCAGGAAAACGGTGGTTGTGGAACTTGCGGCAGCCTAAGACTAATTACTGCAAGAGTGGCTTTAAATTTGTGAACAACGAGATGACCGATCTGGGCCGGCTTCGTGTCGGGAGGGAGGACACTGCGCCACGGGAATGGGAACCAGTGACAATAGCTCAGCAGCCTCAGCAATCTGACTTTACAGTCGCCACAGGAGCCTGATATAAAGGCTCCTGCCACTGCTGCCAGTGCTGCCACAGATAAGAGGTTGATACGGTTGGCTTGGAAGAAGCACGGTGCTAACATAGTCCAGGCAACTAATGGAGCAGTGGCTGTTATCAGATGGACTCAACTCCCTACTTGCTAGATTGTGCCCTCCCGCGGTGATCGCTCCAATG